TATATATATATATATATATATATATATATATATATATATACACATACATATATATGCCATATTTCTTAAAATCGTTGTTGAAGATCCAAGAGAAATTGTATACAGAGATAATAAAAGAAGAGCACAATAACAGCTTTCTCTCAAGGGCAATCTGGAGCAGAAAAACAATGCTACGGTGCTTAAACTGGATTATACCCATCTTCCACTCTTCATTCTAAATGCTGTCTTTTAAGCAAGATTCGAGGTGCAAGGGAAAGGAGAACAGTTGGAAAGCTAGTTAGATTAAAGAAGGCAGAAACTGCTAACTTTTCCATTGTCCTATCTCACAGCCAAACCTCCCCAGAATGCCAAGCAGGTGGCAGACTTCTGATGAATACATACATCAGTTGTGCATAGCATCAGCAGGAACCAAGTCTAAGTTGAAATGCTTCCTTCTTTGTTTATGGGGTTGCTCCCCAGATTTTGGCATAAGATACGGGTAGTCTTCAAGTTACAATTACAACTGGGCACAAAAATTATGTCGCTAAGTGAAATATTTGTTAAGTGAATTTTGCCCCACAACGTATCTTGACATAGTTGTTAAGTGAATCTGTCTTCCCCATAGAAGATCATAAAAGCTGATCACATGACCCCCAGAGACTGCAACCGTCATAAATAAAAAACAGTTGCCAAACATTTCAATTTTGATCATCTGACCATGGAGATGCTGCAATGGTCGTAAGCGTGAAAAACCATCCTAAGTCATTTTTTCCAGTGCTTTAGTAACTTTGAAGGTCACTGTTGTAAGTCAAGGATTACCTTAGTAGGTTAAGACTTGGATGCCATGATTTGCAACTGTTTTTTGAGTTTCCCAACTTAAGCATGGCATATTTTATGCCCCCAGTGCAATTCTGCTTGCATTTCCTCAACCAAACCTCGCATCCTTGTTTGTATTTATTATAAATCAGTGTATACTGCCCCAGTTCATATTTGTTTGGGGCTTATGCTGATTTCACAACACATGCAATCTCTGGGTTTCATCTTTATCTTGAAGGATTAGATGAAGTAAGCTGCCTTGTAATAATTTAGCTTTATCTCGTGCCTTACAGTTTTATGTTCTTGTAATGGCAGTTTGCCTTTTTTCCTCCTTTATTTAATTAAATATCTCTTATTTCACAATGACAACATTTTTATTGGGAAGTTTATTTGCGTAGCAGCTGGCACAGCAAAGCAATGCTTGCCATTAAGAGCGTGTGTTTATTTTTAGCAGCATAGTCAGGAAAAAAACCCTCTGATATACAGACAAAGATAATGAGAGAATGGTTGTTTCAGGGACAGTACTGTTCTGAAATAGAGGTACTATTGCTTAGCCGTTCTTGAGATATAGTTGCATGAATGTCACTTTTACTGTGACTTTTCTTCTTTAACAAGAAGCTTTTTCGATGATACTTCTCCCCCTGGTAAAAAATTCTTTTGTACATTGCAGCTTGCTTCTCTTTATTCACTGCCTCTGTCTTGTTCAGCCAATGGACTATTGATCATGAACAGTCTGGACTAGGAAGCTGTTGTGGCCCAGCAGGAGCCGTTGGAGCTGCCACCAGACTCCGACAGCGAGGGGCCCTATGAGTCAGCCCTGGAGGATGTGGAGGACCCTGGA